CGTGACGTATTATGTGTACGGCCCCTAAATAGAAATTTCCGTAATATAAAAAATCGTTCAATTGGAATTTGTGTTAAATAAAAATTCGTCTAAGTGTAAATGACTTCTGTCTAATAAAAATTGTAGCAATTGAAAATGTCGATAAATTAAAATTAGTTCTTATGTAAATTCTGTTAATTGAAAATTCGATTGTATAAAAATTTTGTATTATATGAAAATTCGTTTAAATGAAATTAATAGTGAATAATAATGCGCAGGAACAAAATTTTGGTTAAAAAAACTTGTGACACGTAAAATTCTATCTTCCAAACATTCTAGATAATTATCATTAGATTCATCATATTTTGTCCCCTCACTGCTACCAGGCTGGTATTAATCATTGCGGCCGATCAGTTTTGGCATTGAGACAATAATAAATTATCATTTAAGTAAAGAAAAATTTAACTTTTCCTATTAAGAGTTATAAATAAACATCTAAATAATCTGCAACCTTATATAAAACATGCACTGCAGTGCAAAAATAAGTGTCTTATTTGATATCTTAAATTAAGATGTAAGATGGAAAAATGGTATCTTACATCTTAAAATAAGATGTTTTCTAAAGTATCTTACTGATTTTTAAGATGTTTTATACGTCTTAGATATTTCTTCTATCTTAAAAAAGTAAGATACTTCTGTAAGTTTTTTAAAGTATCTTAAATTAAGATGTTTCTGTCTCAATAAGATGTTTAGCGATAAGATACTTGTGAATTGTAAGATGCGAAAAAATTTTAAGTTACTAAAAACTAAGATACATAAAATGTCTTACATATAAGCCCATAGTTAACCTCAAAACTTTTTTCCCGAAAAATATGCTGAAAATATGTACGAAGATGCTTTTAGTATCTTAAATTAAGATATTTTAAATGACTAAAAAGTGACTACAATAACATCTTAGAAATGACTACCAAAACATCTTAAATAAGATACTTCTTTTTGCAGTGTGTAAAGTTGCTGCGAATAGAAAATTGTCTTCACAAATGCCCAGCACGCAAACTTGTCGCAAGTTTAAAATTAAAAATGTTATTAGGCAAGCTTCCTATCAAAAACCTAGTAATTTGTTAAAAAGAGTTTGCACAAGTCGAGAAAACACAATTTTTTAATTTTCTAGCATACAATATTCTTGTAAATTCTATAATATTTAAGATATATTAATTTCAATTTCGTAATAGGTGTTTGAAATTAAAAATACGTGTGCACACTAAATTTACGCTCATTTTCAACATTATAATATTTTCGTTCATATGGAACACATTTGTTTAAAAATATTTTTACGAAATTTTAAAGTTTTATAAAATATTTTATTTCGTTTTAAAATTTCTTCTTACAGAAAGAAATAATATTTGTTTCAGGAAACAAAAAAATGCTATTTTCTAGAATTTTTTTACTATTCCTATGGATTATATTGATCTGCATTTTTTTTAGTTCAATAAATACACTCTTTAACTTTATAAAAAACATTATTTTATTAAAAAAATATTATTTGTTTATTTAAAATTTAACAACAATTTTAGACCTGCTAAAAATACCGATGCCATCTGCGGGATTGATTTCTCAGGTTAGAAAAATCTAAAACACAAAATTCGAATTAATTTATCTTCAGTAGGACTGTGTCTATCGCCCGAACTAGAATCTTTAATTTTTATGCAAAAATAACAAAATGGCGGCAATTTGAAAATTAAGGTTTTTTTGGCAGTTTTTCGGTTTAAAAAAATAGTAAAAATTAATATTTTTAAATAATTCTAGTTCCAGCGATACCCACACATGTGACGAGGATTTTCGTAAAAAAATTTTGAGAATCGATCCAGTATAGTTTCCGAGAAAAACATCACGCATGGAAAAATGTGGATTTGAGAAAAACGCGTTTAAAGTTTGTGTTATATGCCCGTGCAGAAATCGCCACTTTTGTTCCCGATTACCGCCCTGGCCCCGGTCGGGATTTCATGATCTGGCCCCGACTTCGTGGCCCCGACCAGGACCAGACCGGGTTTGCCCAAGGATCTACAAACAGCGCACAATGGGATTTTTTTTACAATTTACTGTTCAAAACTGTCTACAGCCTACAATTCTTAACCGGTTTCAGTATTCTTTATTTTAAATTAAAGGCGAATAAATTCTTAAGACATCCCTTAAGGTCAATTTTTTAGTTCTTAATTGTTTATAATTTTTATTTTCAATCAAAGTTAACAAATTAATACAATTTTTCAAAAAAGGAGGCTTATTTTCTTATTCCGTTGCTGCATATGATCTGAATCAGTTCAAATTAATACAATATGACCACCATATAATTAATAAAACAGAAAGTAATTTATATCAATTGTTATAAACAATATTAATTAACAAATAGTTAACTTTGATTTCTTTCCACTAAAAAATGTTTTTTTTACCTTTTCTTTTTAATTTAAGTTCATTTAAAGAATATTTGCCCTTTTTGATTATAAAATAACTTATTTAAATTGTTATAAACAATATTAATTAACAAATAGTTAACATTGATTCCTATTCCACTAAAAATTTTTTTTTCACATTTTCTTTTTAATTTAAGTCTATTTAAAGAATATTTGTCCTTTTTGATTAAAAAATAACTTATTTAAATTGTTATAAACAATATATTAAATAACAAATAGTTATGTAACTTATGCTCCTGTCCACCAAAAAAATTTTTTTTCACGTCTACTTTTTAATTTAAGTTCATTTTAAAAATATGTGTCCTTTTTGTTTAAAAAATAACTTATTTAAATGGTTACAAATAATATTAATTAACAAATAGTTAATTTTTGTTCCTTTCCACCAAAAATTTTTTTTTCACGTTTACTTTTTTATTTAGATAATGTTAAAAGACCACGGATATATAATATTAAATATTTAAATAAGTTATATTATAAGCAAAAAAGACATATATTCTTTAAAAGAACCTAAGTAAAAAAGAAAATTTGCAACAAAAATTTTCTGTTGGACAGGATCATAAGTTAACTATTTGTTAATTAATGTTGTTTATGACAATTGAAATATATTACTTTATGGGTTTTTAATTGTCTGCTGGTAATATTGGATTAATTTGAACTGATTTAGAGCATGTGCAGTAACGGAATAAGAAAATAAACGTCCGTTTTTAAAAAATTGTGTTAATTTGTTAACTTTGATTGAAATTTGAAAATAAAAATTATAAACAATTAAAAACTCAAAAATTGTCCTCGAGGGATGTCTTAAGAATTTATTCTCCTTTAATTTAAAACAATAGGACAAACGCACCAATTGTCGAAGGTGAACCATTTGTCGATGTTATCATGGTGATAACCAAAAATATTGCCTAAAATGTTAAATTTTTTTGTGGTTATAATATTAACATATTATTTTTGACATTTATAACTCTTAAAAACTCTTAATTGTTTTTCACACTTAAATTGAAATTCCATGTTTAAGGCAAAAAAATAAATTATTATTAATTAATAATTTTTAGTATTATTGTGAATTATTAATAATGAAAAAATTTTTATTATTTTAAAAAATAGTTAAATTATAAATAATATAGAATAAATAATTAAATTAACAATTTTTACCATATTATTATGATAAACATATTAATTTATATATATATATATATATATATATATATATATATATATATATATATATATATATAACATACATTTTTAATAATTTTTCTATAAATAAATATGATACAGTCAATTTATTATGATAACACTGTATATAACGGTCCCATGATTCAAAAGGAAGTTTAAGCGAGGTCGCTTCCAAGCTTGCGTGGCTATGCGGTATGTGTATTCGACTTGCGTCCTCGAGGTCTAGGGTTCGGTCCCCCGTGCGTGCGATATTTTTCCGTCTTAGTTTTAAGTGTTTTGTGTATAATTCTTAATAATGTTACATAAAGTATAGGTTTAAATAATTATTAACAATAATAATAATTATAAATAATTATTAATTTAAATAAGATAGTCTGTCTAAATTAATGAAAGAAAATAAGAAAAATATTTTTTTTAAAAACTTAGTCCAATAAAAGCAATTCTAATAACTATTTACATTTTTAATGACACTCATAAAAGTTTATTTACTACAAAAATATTAATAATAATCATTAATATTGAAGTAAATACTCCCCATTCTTTAATAATCAAATAACAAGCTTTAATATAATAAAATGCAGTCAGTATTGGAATTCTACCTGGGTAGCGAAAAGATCGGGGGAAATCCCATGGCCCCGACCGGGTCCCGACAGGGCGGCCAGATCGGGCAAAGTGCCATGGCCCCGGTCGGTTTTAGTGTTTCAACCAGGCCGGGGCCAGGTCGGGTTGCCAGATCGGGGCCCGGTTTGTCCCGATCTGGCCCCGACCTGGCCCCGGTCAAAATTTCTGCACGGGTGTATATACTTACATAGCCGTGTACGCGCTCAAATAGCACTTAAAAGAATATATTTTGAGTACTGGGATCTTTCTAAAAAATTTTACAACACATTTTTGGCATATTTTACTTTCGAAATCCGTAATAAAAAAATTTTTGCTTTTTTGAAAATGACAAAGTGGTATGAACCCTTAATAACTAAAAAAGTAATGAAATTTCTTTTAATAATTATTAAGGCTATTCCGCAAAGCAGTGAATTAATTGTATTACAAGGAGTAAAAAGTCTATATTTTTGTAGAGTTATTATATTATATAACTATAATAAAAAAGTAGCAAAATGTCCTGCAAGCTTGTAGCAAGCTTCCTGTTAGCTTACAGGTTAATTGCGTAACATTAAAATGCAGCTTTTTATATTAGTTGCATTTGTATCATTGTATTGCTTCTAAAATAATTATAGTAAATAGCTACACGTTTCTTGCTATTCTATAAAAAATAATAAAGGTCCACGAGTCCACCTACAGATATCTTCCATCTCTTGCTTTCTACTATTAACAGCCACTTATCTTTTCTCTATTCAATTGCTGTTGCTACTTCTACAGCTGTCACTGTATTCCCTTCTCGTATTCTTTCTTTCTCCGATGGTTCTCCGGATCAGTTCTCCTACTAACACTGTTCAGAAATGTTATCGTGGCGAACGTTACCTGCGTTATTGAGACGCGTTTCTATTTTCACCAATTTTCGTTTCATACATTTTGTATGCAATTCGTTTTTGTACAACATCTACTGTTAGAGTCTCTGATAAACCGGAAGTGACACAATTGAAAATTAGTGTTGTGTGCATAATTAACTAGAAATTAGTTCCATAGTTCCCTCTGTTTGTATCAAAGCAAACGCATTGGAATTGAATTTTGTTTTTGTCCTGCAATTTATATAAGCCTTTCCTCCCAACTATTAAAATTATTATTATTATTATTATTATTATTATTATTATTATTATCATCGAATAATTTGCAAACAACTATTAAGAACGATGGTAATTTCTTAGTCTAAGCTTTGGTGAAAGAATGTTTTACATCTTGAGAAAACTGGATAATTTTTCTCATATTTTAATGTTGTGGATTAATCAAGCAGGCGCTTGTTACAGTTTTGTGTTCAGCTCAAATTGTGAAAAGTAGATTTTATCTATGCACAGAAAATGTGGAAAAATAACTGAGACGTTCTGCAATAATGGATCGAATGGTGAGTAAGAAATTATCCTTAAACTCTTTAACGACCGCACCTGCCATATTGAAACGGTAATACTTCGTCGTTGCAGTCTTGAGGGCTTTTCTACAATGAAAGTTTCACATAATACAAATGCTATGCATTTCGTACCTTTTTTACTAGATTCTCTTTACAATTTCACGAAATTAATTTTAATCAAAATTCAACATTTTATTGCTATGCTTTTTGTGCAACAATACATATTAATTAATGCTTATTAAAAACAATATTATGTATTTCTGATTTCACATCACAATTATGCATTGCGCTGCATTATAGAGCTACGTGTAATTTTCCTCAAAGAGAAACCCACATGGATTCTCCACATTAGGATTCCAGGACGTTGATATTAATAACATTTAATTCACTAAATATTTTATTTTATTTTATTTTATTTTATAAAAAATTCCAAACATTTGCATATTTTCTTATTGATTTTTAAAATATAAATTGGTCGGATTTATAAATTAGGTATAATTTTCATACAAACGTACAAAAATTTATGTAATTCTTCACCTTCATAGTTAATTAATCATTATAATTTTTTATTATTATCATTCATGTTTTTTTTATGTAACTCTAAATAAAAAGTATAATTTATTCTAGCACTGACAGAAAACAAATTTTTACTTTTTTTATAACAATAGTGCATTCTGTTTAAGAAGAATGCTATCTAAATGAAATTATACCGTTGGATTCGTATTGAAAAAATAAATTTATATATTCGAATGTTATGTTAATAAACCATATTATTAATTATTGAGAATTAAATTTAATTTCAATGTTTTACATGAAATCGTTTTTAAATTATTATTTTCAAACAATTAAAATTCACCGTTATTAAACTGATTTTGTATAGAATAATAATAGCAAAGTGAAACTACACTAAATAATTAAGGTAAGGTAAGGTCCCTTTTCTCGTGGAGCGTCACATATGTTTATAATATAATATTTAATTATAATTTTTAGTTAAAGACTTCAATAAATTAATAATACAACTATTATATTTGCCACACTGAAAAAATTATAGTCTACTTTTAAATAACAATTAATAAATGACAATATATAATATTTATTTAAGATTTATTCAAGTCTTTTTGAATTTTATAACCAAATAGTAAACAATTTTTCTTTAATCAACAACTACATCAGTCTTTTTTATAACTTGTGAGTTAAATTGTTTACAAAACTCATTTCTTTGATAATGCATACATAGTCAAAGAAATCGTTATTTAAATTAAATACATTTTTTGTCAATATAGAATACATTTAGAGCACATGCACGAACCCAATCAGGAACGTAAAAAGAGACCCAGGGTGACCACATGTCAGTAAAGTTAGGAAAATTGAGACTTTTTTCGACTTATTGTCAAATATTGCAGCTTTTTCGATTAGTGATTTTTATAGTGCAAAAAATAACTATAAACAAATCTTTCAAAAATTATTTTTTAATCATTTTTTAAGAAAATTAAATTTTTCAAATATAGCTATAATAAAAATCTTTTTAAATAATTGAAATTTTGTAAAATGAAATTGAAAATAATTAATTTTTTCAAGTATTTTGATACAATTTTTGAAAATAAACTTTGGAAGAATTTTAATTGCAAATTTTGAAAATCATTGAATTATCAAAAATATGGTAATGAAAAATCTTTAAATGTAAATTTAAAAATAAAAATTTTAAAATTCTAATTTATTAACTTTATACCTAACTGTTCTAAAGCTATTGTTAAATAAACACAGATTTTTTATTAAATAAATTACTTGTTTTACGTATACTTTAACTTATCTACTACTTAACACCTATATCAGAAAATAGTTTCAGTATGGGGCTAAATGTTGAAAAAGACTAAATTTTGAAAAAAAGACAAAACATGCATTTTACGTAAAAATATCAGAAACTTTTTTATTGAAAGTTGTTGAGGGCAAGTTGCCTTACAATATTGATCTATATACATATTTGCATCTAAGCTGATTTATTGTCTAAAAAAATCATTTATGCAAAATTTAACATTTATCCCCATTCTCCCCTACATATTTTCGAAAATTCAAATGCATACAAAAATAATAACATTTTAGAATTATTTTTAACATTTTGGAGAAAAAAATCATGTTCAAAATTCAATTTTGAATAGCTATACAACCGTATGAGATAAAAATATTTTGTTTGTTACTAATCATTTCTGAGGTTATCATAAACAAATATAAGCTTTTGTAATTGGAAAAAAAAATTTTTGTACGGTTTTTGAAAGCTTTTCTAAGTGGCTGATTCCTGTCGGATTCTTACTTGTTTATTTACTAATTTTTTTCATAAACATGATTGGTTTAATAGTTTTGTGAGATGGTAAGGAACAATGTCACATGAAAGAGTTTGAAAAAGATATGAATTGCACTTTTTATACAGTGTTAATTAAAAAGATTGTTTTAGTTGGCCGACTATACTGTCGGATTCTTACTTTTTTTTGTAAATTTTTCTAACGAATAAGAAATTTCTTTTGTAAACATGATTGGTATACTAGTTTTGTAGGACTATTGGGAACAATCGCACATAGAAGAAATTTTAAAGAAATTTTAATTGTAATTTTTAAACAGTATTCATTAAAAAGACTTTCTTAAGTGGCCGACTACTGTCTGGTTTACCCTGTCTTTCAAAAATTATTTTAAAATATTTTTAAAAAATTATTGTAAGAATTTCTTTATTACAATTTTTTGAAAATATAATATTTTAATAACTTAACCCTTTAACGCCCAAATGTACAAATTTTGCAATGAAGTTTGAAGACTTATTTCAGTACTTAAAAATCAATAGAAAAATCCATCAATCATCATTTCTTATGTTTTCAAATGCGTTCTATAGAATGGCGTTATAAAAAAAAATCAAAAATTTATAAACAAAAAAGTTATTAATGTTTTTTTATAAAAATGTCTGATATTTTTCAAATTTTTGTTTAATTTTCAATTTTTTCTACTACGAAATAGCAGAAAAATAATTCCAAGTGTTACAAATAACGTCACAAAAATATAAATAAGCTACAAGACTTTTGGGATCCCTGATTATGAATCTGAAGTCTAATTTTCAAAATTCAAGATGGCGGATCCAAATTGCGGACAAAGGGTATAGCCGGATAAGTATTAACATATTTAAATTTCATTAAAATCGGTTCAGTAGTTTTCGAGAAAAACGCATTTTTGGATTTTTCTTTCCCCCTCCATAACTCCCCCAAAAAAGCGAATTTTGAGTTTAAAATTTCAGAATGTTATCTTTAAGTGGGTAGGAATGTATAGATAAATTATGAATATGCGGGGGCACTTTTTGCATACTTATCCGGCTATACCCTTTTAAAAAACTCATTAGATTCGCTTGAAACTTGTTACTTGTAGGTTTTTGGGGTCGCTGATTACGAATCTAATGTCCAATTTTTAAAATTCAAAATGGCGCATCCAATATGGCCGACAAATTTAAAAAAAAAAACTTATTGGTCCGTTGAAATTCGTTAATCACGTTCTTTAGCCTTTAAAATGTTTAAATTATTTTTAATATTGCCCAACTTTCACCATGCAGAGGCAAATGTGTACTGGAAAGTCTTTTTTTTAATTTTTAAATTCTATACACGGAGAGAAATCTGTTAGGATTAATGCTCGAAATTTTTCATATATACTTTTTCCACAGATTCTTTGATGCTAAAATCCTATAACAGAGAGCCTATTTATTGCTCGAGTCCGCCTGAATATTAGGCGGACCTCTTATACTTTTCGCTAGTAAGTGCTTATGCTATAATCCTAACCTCTACTCTATGCATTATTCGCAACAGATTTCTTTCCGTGTATTTATTTCACTTTTATATTTTTTTTCTTTTTAGGGTTCCGTACCCGGTAGGAACCCTATTAAAACGGTTGCGGAAAATGACCATGAACCCCCCCCCCCTCCTAGCGCTCATAGTTTTTCATGTAGAGAGCTAAAAATTGGTACACGTATGTATTTTCACGCGTAGATTACAGGAAAAATATAGAGAACGTAATTGGAATTGATCTTCATGTCGCTCACAGTTTTTTACCTAGAAAGATGAAAATTGGTATGCATATGTATTTTCAAAAATGGATTACAGGAAAAATATAGCGAACATATTTGGTATTAATTGATCTTCATTGTGTCTTCAGCAAAAACCTAAAATCTTTTTTAAAATTTTTGATAATAATTATACGTATGCTAGTTCTGACAATTCTTAGTCTAGTGAACTGTCGTTGGTCATTTTTATTTATTTTTACGTGTAGATTACAGAAAAAATACAGAGAAAAGGATTGGAGTTGATCTTTAAATTTTTTTTAGCGAAAAACTAGAAATTTTTTACGATTGAGTAAAAAAAATAGTATATTAAGCAACTAAGGGTATAAGGGCAGCCATTTGTTTACGGTGATTTTTGTGACACGAGTGACGATTTCAGATAGCAGACGACAGGGAATAAAAGTCAGTCACTTGTTCGACTTATATGAAAATGTCGGCCGTTTTCTTCCTTGGGCAAAAATAATGCATGGGATCAGCGGTTATGTTTGCACATGGGAGAAAATGGACGACATTTTCATATGGTCGAACAAATGAGTGACTTTACTCTCTGACGTCAGCTATCAAAAAGCGACATTTTTGTGCATGTGGGATAAAAAAAGATTTTACCCCCCTGGCGCTCATAATTCTTGGCTTATAGTGGACAGTCGTTTTGCATTATTTATGTATTTTCATGTGTAGATTTTAGGAATAATATAGCAAAAATATTTGGAGTTGATATTTAATTCATATGGTTCTCAACGAAAAAAATTATATTTTTGAAAATTTAGTCAAAAGAGTGTGTATTCATCCCTGGTGGTTACAATTCTTGACCTATAGTGAACTGCAGATTTATATTCGTATATATTTTTATATTCAGATTTCAAGAAAAATTCAGTACATACGAAACCCTCGGTTTTAGTACGAGTTCTACTCGCACTTGTCCGGTTTTTTTATTTTTAATATTTGGATTTAAAACTAAAAATAACTAAATTTAAATTCTTTTTTAACCTTTAATTATGTTTGAAAAAATAGGCATTGCACATTTTACAAAATAAACGTTTACCTCCAGGTGCTGAAAGTTGGCAACATTTAAAATATTTTAAACATTTTTTAGGCTATAGAACGTGATTAACGAATTTCAACGGACCAATGAGTTTTTATTTGAAAATTAGTCAGCCATAGAGCAATTCCACGGGAAGTAATATGAAAAATTTTCGATGATTTTAGCAATATTAATAATACTTACTGAATTTGTTCCTTCACATACATGGAATAAAAATGTATAACAGTTTTTTCAAAATTTTTTGAGTTACCGCTTATTTAAAATTTTGTTCGGTTTTTCAAAAAAGGCACATAAGTTTCTTCCTTGTTAACTGATTAAGATAATTTTTTTTGGAAAATACTCATAATAAGAAGCACTTTAAAAAAAAAACAAAACAAAAATTTTGAATCAAAATTTTGAAAAAAATACCTCTTCGATTTGAAAATTTTTTTTTTGTAGTTATTGTCTATAAAGTTAAGAATACTTCCTATAAATTTTATTATGGGACAACAATAACTTTACGAGAAAAAAAATAAAATGTCCAGCGCGGATTGTAGAAAATAATAGGTATTGAATTCAGAAAGGGTTATAATTGTAACGTGTGCTTATGTTTAATATAATAAAAGACGAATGTTTTGAGTGGGGAAGAAGTTAGACAAAAATATATTTCAAAACAAGAACAAGAAAAAAAATTAGGTCATGATATACTTTCGCCATGCTGAATTTACTTACGCCACGCTCTTCAGAGGAGTTGAGAATAGTTCTATGTACTTTCGCTACACTTTTCTAACAAGAAAAGTACTCCTTTCAGAGCAGGCGTTGGAAAAAATAATTTCAATGTCAGTAAATTGTAAGGGAAATTGATAAACTGAAACTTGTGACCACCCTGGGGACTGTATTAATTTACTTGATTAATAAATAAGAAAACCTGTAAGAAAATTTGTTGTGTGCAAAAAATGTGACGAAGGGGGGAGGGGTTAAAAATAGTTGAAAAAAGCGTGACGTAGTTCTATGAGGGATGAGTTTTTTCAGTCTTTTATTTTTATAAGGTTTAAATTGATTTGATATCATTTCAAAATAAAAAGAGAAAATTACAAAGAAATGTAAACAATTTTGCGTGAAAAAGTATGAAGGTCAACTATGCATAAATTTTACAATACCTGATCTCTAGTTCAAGATTGTATACAGATGCTAATTTCATTATTTTTACCCTTTTTTCATTTAAGGCGCTATGAATGCAATGGGAGACGTTTCTGCAAAGCCTGTCGAGGATGAAATTTCTTGTTCGTTGCCTAATGGTTCGTCTGGAAAGGATTTTGGCCAACGAACCTTAAAGTCTCTTAAAAATGGATTGGGCAAATTATGGAAGAGGCATCGTGGAAATGCATTAATTACAGAGTATGATCCATGCTACAAAGTCGCCTACCTGGGCAATGTCTTGACGGGATGGGCGAAAGGTGAGAAACTTATAGAATTGGTCTTATTAAATATAATTATATTAAGGGCTAAAACTGAATACAATTTCACGACATTTTTAACATCCCATTTGGTAAATATTAACCCATGCCACCCAAGGGTTTTAACCTTTAAATGGGATTTAACATGGGTTACGTGCGCTTTTGTAAACTTTATGTTACAATTTTTCCATTTCTCAACAATTTCACTTGTGACTGTGCATTATTTCAAAAATAACTTTGACAGCTGCCAGTTGTTAAAAAGTTATGATAATCTGTCAAATTTTGAAAAATGAGAATTTTAACAAGTTTTACATTTATTTTTACAATTTTAATAGTTTTTTGAAAAAACATTTTGACAGTTGACAACTTTCAAAAAAGCAGTTAACTTTTGTAAAAAATGAGTTTTCTAAAAAGTTTTGCATTATGTTCTATAAATACAATGATTTTTGGAAAAGTTTATTTCACATCTGCGTACCTATATTACACACCTTTTGGCATGCGAGCGCCTACAAAATCTATAATTTTTATGGTAGAAAAGTATAAAATTATATCGAGTTTAGGATTTTATATCTAACGGCACTAATAGTTTATGTTGAATTAGAATCGTATAGAGTTGTAGCAACCATTAGGGGAGCGTGGGGGAATTGGAGCCCCTTAAGGAAAATTATTAAAAAAACCAACTTATCTTTATAATAATACATTATTTTCGTCATTTCCTACTTATTTCGTTATTTATCTTTAATTATGTTTAATTAGAAACTTAAAAAGAGAAAGTAAATTGGAAAAAAAAAATTTCAAAAAAAATACATTTTTTGCAATCACCCAATTTGTGGGGTAATGGGAGCTTTCACTTGAAATTTAAAAAATTTTTATATTTTAGGAATATTTTTTGTTTTCTAATAGAAAAAAGTGTTAATACTTACAATGAAGCCAAAACTTTAGACTTAGAATAAATTTTTTCCTAAATTATAATTGAATAAAAAATTTTTGAAAAAAAATTAAATTTTTCATTTTTCCCACCAAAAATTATTTTTTAATTAAAAGTTTTTTCACAAGGTGATATCTTTTACAATTTTCAAAGAAATAACGAAATTCGCAACATAGTAACGAAAATTCTTTAGTCTGACACTAATTCTCCCATTACCCCACAGAATTTTTACAGGACAAAATTTGAATAAAAAAATAAAAACGTAAACAAATTTTATTATTATATCGATTTTTATACAAGTATACATATCCACACATATTCACCTATAATATAATGAAAAAACAGAACTAAATAATACGATTTTAACTACTTATGGTGATGTTTAGAAATATTTGGCATTTTACAACGAAAACGCAAAAAATACATTTTCCCTTGTCTTTACTAAAAATTTGTCAAGAATGTGATCGTTTGTTTTGGAATGATATAAACAAAGGTTGTAGAAGATTTTCTAGACATTGCAGCGAATTTGAAGGCTTTTAAGTACGTGAAATTTAAAAGCTCACATTACCCCCAAGCTCCCATTACCCCACGCTCCCCTAAAACATTGATGGAGCTAATATTAGCGAATTTAAAGGCCCTGTTCCTACATGTCACAAAATTTAAAAAGATTTGTTCCTTTTGTTCTGATGTTTTATTGGGTAGATTTATAAATTGGTTCACATTCTTCAAAAAAGGAATTTAGAATTGACAATGGATGAGAGAATGGATATCTCAATATAATATAAATGTCAACACACCACATTAAAAGTAAAATGGTTGTAAGAATAATTACAAATTAAAGGAAGAAGGAATTTATTAAAGGTAGGAGGACAGTATTGTTACAGTTGTACTGTCGATGCATGAAATTAAAAGAAGCTTCTGAAGTAAAATTGATTCAGAGAGATTGTTAACTACTTCTTCCACCTTTAATAAGTTCCTACCGAATGATAAATTCCTTCTTCCTTTAATTATAATTTGCCTATGAATCTACAATTGGCTTAATTGTAATTAGCCTTTGAACTTCCTACATTGTCATCAATTAAAAAGTAGGTATATATCGAGGAACTCGGAGAATCTTGCTGTGCATGTAGCTCAGTTGTCAGAGCAATCTACCAACAATAGAGAGATCGTGGGTTCGTTTCCCACCATGCTCTCGTTTTTTGAGTTCTTTAATCATTTAGAAATCATTAATAATTAATTTCGAAAAGTATTTTTCAGAAAAAGTTTCTGTATAAGGACAGTTGTATTGTCATTTACCTTTTTTATTGTATCTATATTAAGGCAGCCATTAAATATCTTTGCCACAACCAAAGGTTTGGTTGGGACGTATTTTTCAATATGATACGGATTGATGCAACCAAAGGTTCGGTTGTGACAACTATTCCTTTTTTCGTGCATTTTTCAGAAAAGTAAATTTAAGTAAATTTAAGCCGAACTGACAACTTTCTTTAAACTTCTTTTCTATTATGTCAACATCAAAAAAAGAATTATCAATTTGAAATCTTCTAAAACATTTTATTGATACAGGATTTACGTAACAATCGATGTCTTTGCTAAAGAACGATAGTTTTCAACAAAACTTTTTAAAAAATCCCATGTAAAAATTGTAAAAATGAATGTAACATCTGTTAAAGTCTCATTTTCAAAATTTGACAGATTATGACAGCTTTTTTAACAACTGGCAGCTGTCAAAAGTTATTTTTGACATAAAGTTCGTTTTCGGCTCATTAAAAACACAGTAAAAATGCATAGTCACAATGAAAGTTGTTGAGAAATGGAAAAGTTTTAACATAAAGTTTAAAAAAGTGTACTTAACCCATGTTATATCCAATTTAATATTTAACTGTTCGGTGGCACGGGTTAATATTTAATCAAATGTGCTGTTCTTGTGCAGAGCTAATTTTTTCTCATTCTAAAATAAATTCCGGCCGACGACTTAAAAATTCCAATTTTCGCAAAATATAGAATAAAAAAGTATGAAAATTCTTGCAGAAAATGGAAAAAAAGTTAATACCGAATTAAAACAATAAGTTGAAAATAACTGGTTTAATTCGTCAAATGCAGAAAATCGAATTGGTCAAGCTGTCTGTCCAATTCTTCTTTTCGCCTGTATAATAATTATTTTTTGTCCTACCCAGTAAAAAAAAATAGATGCTTGTATACGAGGTGACTTTTAAAGCATTTTTCTTAATATAACACTATTTTAAAGTAAATGTAGATAATAGAAATTAATTTTCAAAGTAAAACAAAGCTAAATTTATAAAGGAAATGAAGTTTTAAGAAAAAAAGGATAATTTTGTTCAAAAACTTTATTCACACTGAAAAAAGGTTAGACCCAGGCGGAAAAGTCGGACGAACGTCGGAGTTTACAGCCGGCTGGGATCCGCGCCCGTACAGACCGCAAGTACCGACGGTCTGTACCGATTCGGATCTGAAAAAGCAACCGGCGCGGTACAGATTATGCTCCGACTGTCGGAACCGTCTTCCTACTATTGTCAGTACTGGCTCGGTACTGGATTTCTTCCGCCGGCGGATCTTATTCTTCTGCGGCGTCGGAAGAATGACGGATATGTTGAGTCTGTACTGGCTCGGTACTGGGGCGGATCCGACTGCGGATCTCGTCATTTATTGTCACATTATAAATTAAATAATTATTACAAGTAATTGCATTATTTTAGAAAATAATTATTAATAAATGAATCTAATCAATATATTAAGTAATCATTTATTGAGACTTTTTTAAAAATTAAATAATTAGAAAAATTCGTTATTAATTAATATTATATATTATTAATTAATAATATCTCAATAATAATTGAATAATTGTTTCTCAATATAATAATATTGAAGGTAATGATATTAATAATTTTAATTAATATCTCAATAATAATAAATTTATTGTTATTGATATATTATTAATTAATATTAATATTGATAGGGTAGAGTGGGGTAAAAAAGCCATTTGAGTTTTATTTAAAAACTATTAAGCCGATTTATCAGCTGTTTAGAATATAAATACTATTAGGTAATACGCAACTTTTGAATCTAGTTTGAATGTTGTACCTAGATTAATATTGTTTTTATTGTAATTTTAATTTTTTGTTGCTTTTTTGAAAACATTTTGGTGAACTTTTCAAACATATTACAATTTGATTAAGTGAACGAATAATAAAAGTAAATGTTTGTACATAAGGAGAAAAGTATACCGAAAACGTATACAATGTTAATTTTTGGAAATTGAACTGAATTAACAATTTATTTTTGCTTTTTTTAATAACTGGTCTTGGGTGTAAAAAAGCCAGGGCAAAAAATCCATTGAATATTTTGTTAAATTCACTTGTTTTCTATTTAAACTAACCTTCTTATTTTACAAAATTTCTCGTGTTTATTTAATAAAATAAATTAAACACGACGAAAAAGTAGTTCAAAGTGCGCATTAAAAAAATAAACAATGAATAAACGGTTGCAACGAAATATGTTATCTGTGGTGAAACTTAAAGAGAACTTCTAAAAAAGGTACGAAAAATTGGCAGTGCAAATCGAAAACAGGTAAACTTAATATAATTTTCAATTTTGCTTGCTAAAAACTCTTTCATAATTATTAGAATATTTTTCAAATAAGACTATTTGTCATATAAATAAAGGGAAACTATAAAAATACCTAAATTGATAACATGTTTTGCTAAAATCGTAGGGTGGCTTTTTCACCCCACCAGGTGGTGCAAAAAAGCCACTTGCAGTGCTTTCGTAAAACTCTTATAACTTAGTCCTTTCATGAGATAAAAAATATTTCCGTCAAGAATTTTCAAGCTTAATAACTAAACTTTTAATAACAATTGGAAATTTGAGAAAAAAATTTTAAATACAGATTTTACAGCATCAAAAGTAAAAATGTGGCTTTTTTACCCCACTCTACCCTAATTTATTATTAAATCTCAATAATATTAATGTTAATTAATAATATATAAAATTAATTAATAATATCTTAATAATAATAAATTTATTATTATTGAGATATTAATTAAAATTATTAATATTATTACGTTCAATATTATTATATTGAAAAACAATTATTTAATATATGTATTCGGTAGAATGCCCGTTCACATTCGGTTGGCAGGCGGTTCCGAGCCAGTACAGTTATACCGGCGTCAGTACGGGCTGAATCAAGGCTCGCGCTGCAGTCTGGAATTGGTGTTACATTAAAGCTTCGATCATTCCTGCTCTCGCTGATTCACTCATGCTCAATCAATGTTGACCAATGCTCGGCCAATCTTTATAAAGCCTGAACTCGGCGTCACTTCGCGCCTGGGTGGTTTGCTGAATTTTCGTCTATAATAGATTTACATGAAAAAATAACTTTAATTTTTAGAAAAGTTTCAGGCTAAACATTCAATAAAGTGGGACATGTAAACCTTTACACAATTAATTTTAAAATTTGATAGTAAATAATACTACGAAGTTTGCATGTAAATCTTTAAATAATTTTTAGGAAGTATTCAGCATCGGGCTCGTCACCTTGTCATCTTCACAACTAAACACGTCAGACACACTTAAACTCCAGCCTAAGAAAATTTCATTTTTCTAATAAAGAAACCAATATTGTCTGAATATTGACAAAACATGTTGTGATATTTTGTTGATGCAAAAGAAAATAATTTAAAAAAACGGTTAAAAGTGTTCTCTTTATTTTGTTGTAAACTACAGATTTTAAGAAAGGTTTTAACATTTCAAAAAATAAATAAAACTTCATAAAACAGTTTAGGTGATCTGGCCCAAAAACTTGAAAAAAAAAAAATTTATGAAAAAATGTTATAGAGAAAAGTTGTTTGTATTTTCCTAATATAAAATAATATAAAGTTAAAAATTTTGAAATTTGAAAAAATTGAGTTTTCAAAATTTTGAAACTACTGTAGTTTTTGTAGTTTTCAACAAAAATGGCTGGTTAACGAACTTAGCCTTCATTTTTACACCAACTTTAAGCGTGTTAAATTTAAAAACGATCAGATAAGATTTTTAAAAGTTATTGTGTCAACATCATTTTGGTCTACAGACGGACATACATACATACAGACAGACACACAGACAGACGGACTCGCCGGACCATGTTTTTCGGGTTCAGGGGACCCTAAAACGTAAAGATTTTATAAAATTAGCAAAAGTCAATTTTCTCATGTGATGAGAATGTAATATCATTAATGACCCTTATAATGTCTTATAATATTGATATAAAGAAAAATATCTATCAATTTATATACAAATTATATTTATTTTGAGTGAAAATGAACACGACCCACGGGTGGATCGGAAACAGTTATGGCCAAACTTTTTCACGACCCACCCGTGAGTCGGAAACAGGCAACGGGTTAAAGTGGGCGCAAAGTAACTGATTCTCGCCCGGGGTCGGGGAAGCGGGCGCAAAAGTACTTTTACGCCCGCTTCGCTCATGCCCTCAATGCCATATTTTTCATGCAGTTAGGACAAAAAATTATGTTCGCAAAATACGATAATAACTATTCTTACTAGGAAATAGATTAAATTTTTGATAAATTGATGTCTGGATGAATTGAGTTCGACTTTAATTAATTAAAACCTTTTTTTATCGATATTGTAACTTATTATCTTGGTCAGAAGACAGGCAAACCACGCACTGTTATTTTGGGTAATTACTTTTATCTGAGATAATTTACCTATAGATCCGGCAAAAGTCCTAGTAGCATGTTGATTAACATATTTAACTTTTTCACTTTCCTACAAAATGTAATACTTGTTGTTCTTTTTTACTGGGTATTTAATTCTATATTTTATCTGGGTTCTGCATAATTGAACACAATTTATACAGTTTTGTAGGTTTTTGAATAACTTGAAAACATTGTTCTATTTTTTAGGAGAAGGCTGCGTCGAGAAGCCTGTTTCAACATTATGGCGTAATTATGTGAGCAACAGTAGACCTGACGTTTTAATGAGGTTAACGGTAACAAATGGTGGTTTGACAGCCACAACCAAAGATCATGGACTGACAGAATATTGGGCTCATAGAGTTACTTATTGCATAGCGCCAGACTTTTATCCTCGTCTCTTTGTCTGGGTATATCGTCATGAAGGGCGCAAACTAAGACCAGAATTAAGATGTCATGCTGTTTTATGCTCTAAGGTGTCAACTGCTCGAAGGTTAGCATCAACCTTAAATACCAGACTACAACAGGCTCTGCTGGAATTTCGAAGGGATAAGGTCTCCAGACAAAATGCGAGGTTAATCATTTTTAAGTACATACCTGACATTAAGAATTGAATATGCAAGTAATACATATACTTATTTTAAACGGCTTATCGTTTATCTAATCAAAAATGGCACACCGAACAAATATAATATGAACACAATCTTATTTTAAATATTAATTGGATATTCTTTGTCAAAAAAAGCTATCCCTGCTGTCCCTTACATTTTATATAAAATAACTGACGATCTGTAGATCGCTAAAGAACGTTAAAAACTTTTCATTCTGTATGTTTTTTGAAAAGTTCCTTTATCTCATTACAAAATTTTATACTAGAATAAATTAATTTATTTTTAGATTATCTCTGGCAAATGCAGCATACGAAAATCCTTCTTTACCACGAAGAAAAATTCTTCTAAGCACTGGAGGTCAAAATTATAGACCGCCTATGGAAAGATCGAAAAGTGCTCCAAAATTGTTTTCCATTGAGGAAGATACAATTGCTGAAGAAATTGAACAAAAGCGTTTAATAGAAGAGCTAAGATCTCTTCATACTGCAGCGCAAAGTTGGCAAGACCAAGAAAGATGGCGACTGTCTAAAATTTTAGATGTTCTGAATAAGGGATCCTCTGATGAAAGCGTCAGCATATCGAGCGGATGTGAAACCTCAAGTACAATTAATAGTGATGAAAGAGCTTATAGTTTACAAAACTCCCATATACATAATGAAAATGACTTGAAAAATAAAAGAAATGTTTTTATGGGTAACGATGTTCTTAGAATAAATGCAGCTGTACATAGAAGAAACTCTGACGGTTCTCCAAATTTTATAACATGTTCGAATAGCCCATCGTTTGATAGAGAGTCCGAGAATAGAAAAAGTTTTTACTCTAGGAGTGAGGGAGAAGAATCAATGGAAGAAGAAGAGGAGGAAGAAACAGAAATTGCTCGACAAAATTCTCATGTCTTTGAATTTGAAGATGTTGAAGACTTTGATGAGATAGTTGACTACAGGCCTCGAGGAGAGAGCTCCAGACCTATACAAAATTTGCAGAAACCTAAACTTGGTGCAGAGAACTTCTCTGAAAGTATATATAAAGAGATTCGGGATAGAGAAGATATGTTCTTTATTTTAGATGCTTTAGACGAAGAAGTTGATAGTGATGAAAGTGGTTATGTTGAAGCTCCACCAAAAATCAAATAATGAAAGTGCTAATCACGAATACAAGAAATTATCACAAGCGCGGGGAAATATCTACTTGCAATACTCAAATAACACAACATTTGTCAACAATATTGCTTTAATATCTCATGGAATACTGCAAATACGGTTCGGCTGTATTGAGGCAATATTCGCAATATTAATGCAGTATTGCTGACATATATTTTGATATTTGGGCAGTAAGAAACATTTTTTTAATAAAGAATTTCACAGTCAAATTATCTCAATGCTGTGCAAAAATCATAGCATTAATAAATAAATTAACAGAAATTTCCAACAATAACCGTTGTGGCTTTGAAGATATTTAGTACTCAAAAAAGTTCTAACACATATTTTTATACTTGATAGTTCATTTTCAGGGGCAGCAACTATATATGAAAGTTCAGTGGCAATCAATTAGCTGTAGCGAGAAAATAAAAAATGCAGGGATGAAAACTTTTGGTTAATGCATGATTTTTTCACGAAAATGTTGTATCCAATCGTTTACACAATTTATTATTGTTATGACTATGGATAAAAAGAGACATTTACTCTTCATAGAATTGTTTATTTATTTTTTATTAGGGTTACGGAAAGTAATGTTTCATTTAATTGTAAATAAAGTAAACTGTTTTCTCCATAAACTTTTATTTCCTTTGCATGTAGATTTTCTAATCTACGAAGATACAATTTTCCTGAACCATTTAAAACTACCTGTCAATATTATTTATTTATACCTATGCTCTAATGCTGTGCTATTTGGGTTTATTTTAAAAAATATTTTTACATTTTTTGGTAAATAATTTGTGTTTATATTCTTGGAATATTAATTAAATTATTGTATGTCAAGGATAAAGCTTCTTTCAATTTTTAACATAAACTCAATTGTAAAATAATCAAACTCATTGAGAGAAAAATAAGGTCTGTTAAAAGGCTCTCGCCTCGTGATAACTCCGAGTTAATGGTGATTGGTTAGATTCAAAATAATGTTATTGATGATTGTATAATCGTTAAGACGCTCTCACAGCTCTGCATGCATGCCAATGCATGCATAGTTGTCATGGTAACACATGAGAGTAAGTAAGTCAGAAAATTCAAATTTCATGTTTTTTCTCTCTTACTCTCATGCTGGCAGTAGAGCTGTGCGAGCGCCTTTAACGGTGTTGGAGGTCGAGAACTGTCCAGTGTTGCCAACCCACTTTCTTACACTTTCCTGTATATTTTCACTTTGAGAATTTTTTATAAAAAAACGAAGCACTTAATCAAAAAAGTGGGCCTTTACTTGGAAGCGAAATTAAATGAAGAATTTATTAGAATTTATTTTGTCTCGATATGATGTTTCTACGAGCCACATTCTTATTTCCGCCACAAGAATTTACAGCTGCAGGTGACTTGGCATAGGGAAAAAATGGCCGCACAACAGAAAGGTGGAGTAAAGCGGGTTGCCTACGTAAAGGCATAACAGTATAATAAAACAGGGCAGTAACTTATAATTTGTTAAAAATTGTAAAACTATTATTTTGCAATAACAAAAATTAAACCAAAAGACATAAATAAAGAGATTTTTGTTTATAATTATGCACATAATATAAAATATGTAAAATTAAAAATAAAAATATGAAATTTTTTTTTTAAATTTTGATATTTTATTAACATAATTGTTTACAAAGAATAAAAATATAAATTGCTAATTAGTACTTATAGAGGTACAATTTATTAAATTGTAATTGATAAAGATATTACAAATGACAAATATATAGAATTTTTAAAAATTAAATTATATCTAAAATTTATTAAGGACGCTGCACGGTGGGAAATATTTAAAAGTACGCATAGGCGTAGCGAGCGATTTCTCCTCAACTTTCACTCTTTTCCCCTCTTTTCGTCCCTCTTGGTGAAATTTTTTGACTTTGATAATTAATTAAAAAAAATCCAGATTGAAAATGAAAAAAAGGGCGATTTAGGGAAAAATAATATTTAATAGAGAATATTCAACAAGTTTTCTTATGACGATTAGATGTTTCTATGGGCGTGAATATCAATCCGCGTTTTCCAGAACATAGCAAACTGACAGCTCAATATGGGAGGTTAGCCATGGCCGACTATATCAGGTTGCACCGTTTGCGTAGTACAGTAGAAATGAACGTGAGGAACAAAAATATTAAATGTCAATTATACTCTCATTGTTTACTATTACATTTATTATTTGTTTATTTATTTATTATTGTTATTATATCTATTATTATTTATTATTTTACTTACTTTTTTAAAATATTATTATGGAAAAGTATTAAAACTATAAAGGAAAATTTTTTATGAAAAAATTATTAAACAAATAAAATTTCTAAACAAAAAAAAAGTAAATAATAAAAAATTATGAAATGTATAATTTAAAAAATTTTTTATTGTTATTTTTATTATTGATATTTTTAAGTATAAGAAAAATCTAATTTAAATATTCCACAAAATTAGTTTTAAAGTAATTTTTTATAAGGAATTCAACGGTCATAAAATAAAAGCGGACAGAAAATATTTTGACCCTTTTTCAATTATCATTTTTCTTAAAAATTGGTGGATTTCGAAACACACGCGTAATTTGGTAGAAAATATGTTTTTAAATCCATGAAAAGAATTCCAAATGAAATCGATGATTTTCATAATTACCTATAGAAGTATTGTTTTGAAAAAAATCTTTGTTTTTAAACTGAAAATTCTAAAAATAACATTGTTATTCAATTTTTCTATATGGAAAATTATTTGTTTACTTATTTAGTTTCTGATCAAAATTTAATCTTAATTTTTCTGTATTTCTATTTTTCATCAATAAAAATTATGATATGAAATTATTTAGAAAAATAAATGTCAAAAAATGCCCTTTTTTAATAAAAAAAAAGCTGCAATGTATTGAAAAAAGACGAAAATTTAATAATCTACTTCAAAAATTGTTAGAAAAAAATTGCAAACATCAACGTCGTTTTCTCAAGACAAAAATGGTTTTCATAATTGGAAATAAATTCTGAGTACCTCCGTGTTTTAGAAAAAGGACTTTTTTCATAAAAAAGATCCAATTTTATGACAAAAATTATGTTTAATAATATTTTCATAAAAAATTTACATTACTTTGTTTTATACTTTTCCATTATAATATTTCTAAAAAGTAAGAATAATAATAAATAATAATAGATAAATAAACAAATAAATATAATTATTTATATAATATTAAATAATAAAAGTAATGACTTATTATTTTTGTTGATCATCTACGTCCCTACATTACCATAGCGTAAATACTTTCAACACGAAAATGGTGCAACCTGTTATGGTCGGCAAAGGCCTACATCGAGCTGTTGCTTTGTTTTGTAAAACGCGGATTCATATTTACGCTCCTAGAAACCTCTAATCGACATAAGTAAGTTTGAATTATATTCTCTATTAAATATTATTTTTCCTTAAATCGCCCTTTTTTTCATTTTCTGTCTAAATTTTTCAAAATTAATTATCAAAGTCGAAAACTTCCCCTCTTTTGGTGTAATTTTGTACTTTGATAATTAATTTTTAAAAATTCATTATATAAAATTATCAAAAATCCGAAAAATCGAATTTCTTAAAATTCAATATTTTTTCTTCTCTTTTATGCCATTTAGCTTTGTTATTATTTGAATTTCTATTCAAGAGAAAAAATAGAAAACAAAAAAAATTTAGAAACTTTTAAAAGTTCCAGGCCTTTTCCATTATTTCCCTGATTTCCAGAAGCCTTTTAACCCTTTAAGGACCAAATGTACAAAAATTTTATCCGAACTTTGGGAGCAATTTTTATTATGAAAACGGATTGCTAAAAATTTTTCAATAGACATTTCTTAAAGCTCAGGAACCGCTCTTTCGAATGCTGCAATAACAAATATTGAAAATTTATAAATAAACAAATTACATACAGTTATTTAAAAAAAACACAATTTTTTAAAGATTTTTTTTTGAAAATCAAATTTTTTTTATTATTTATGGCGAAGGAATACGTCTCAAAGGTAAAAATATCGCGTCAAAAATGTCTAACCTAAAATGTTGTAAAATAAAAATTAGAAAAAAACAAAATGGCGGATTAAAAATGGCGTTCAAAGTTAACTTTTTAATAAATAATATACAGCAAGTGCACATTATTTTAAAAACCTCACAGATTCGCTTGAAACTGGTTACTCGGGGATTTTTGGGGTCGCTGATTACATATATGATAATAGTTTTTAAAAATTCAAAATGGCGAATCCAATATGGCGGACACTTTTTTCAAAATTTCATCGGATTCGCTTGAAACTGGTTACTCGGGGGTTTTTAAGATCGCTGATTACGAATATGATAATAGTTTTCATAAATTCAAAATGGCGAATCCAATATGGCGGACATTTTCCAAACCTTCATCGGATTCGCTTAAAACTGTTTACTCGGGGGTTCTTGGGGTCTCTTATTACGAATATGATAGTAGTTTTCAAAAATTCAAAATGGCTAATTCAAAATGGCGGATACTTTTTCTAAAAGTTCATCGGATTCACTTGAAACTGATTAGGAGGGGTTCTTGGGGTCTCAAACGGAGCAACCTGTTATGGTCGGCCATGTCCAACTTCTCATATAGAGCTATCAGTTTGATATGTTTCGTAAAACGCGGATTGATATTTACGCCCATAGAAACATCTAATCGTCATAAGAAAACTTGTTTTATATTCTCTATTAAATATTATTTTTCCCTAAATCGCCCTTTTTTCATTTTCTGTCTGAATTTTTAAAAATTAATTATCAAAGTAAAAAATTACACCAAAAGAGGGGAAGTTTTCGACTTTGATAATTAATTTTGAAAAATTCAGACAGAAAATGAAAAAAAGGGCGATTTAAGGAAAAATAATATTTAATAGAGAATATAATTCAAACTTACTTATGACGATTAGATGTTTCTAGGAGCGTAAATATGAATCCGCGTTTTACAAAACAAAGCAACAGCTCGATGTAGGCCTTTGCCGACCATAACAGGTTGCACCATTTTCGTGTTGAAAGTATTTACGCTATGGTAATGTAGGGACGTAGATGATCAACAAAAATAATAAGTCATTACTTTTATTATTTAATATTATATAAATAATTATATTTATTTGTTTATTTATCTATTATTATTTATTATTATTCTTACTTTTTAGAAATATTATAATGGAAAAGTATAAAACAAAGTAATGTAAATTTTTTATGAAAATATTATTAAACATAATTTTTGTCATAAAATTGGATCTTTTTTATGAAAAAAGTCCTTTTTCTGAAACACGGAGGTACTCAGAATTTATTTCCAATTATGAAAACCATTTTTGTCTTGAGAAAACGACGTTGATGTTTGCAATTTTTTTCTAACAATTTTTGAAGTAGATTATTAAATTTTCGTCTTTTTTCAATACATTGCAGCTTTTTTTTTGTATTAAAAAGGGCATTTTTTGACATTTATTTTTCTAAATAATTTCATATCATAATTTTTATTGATGAAAAATAGAAATACAGAAAAATTAAGATTAAATTTTGATCAGAAACTAAATAAGTAAACAAATAATTTTCCATATAGAAAAATTGAATAACAATGTTATTTTTAGAATTTTCAGTTTAAAAACAAAGATTTTTT